GGGTCAGTTTTCCTATACATGTATCCTCCTTCTAGCTCACCTGATTTTAATAAATATCTTACAGTCATTCCTTTTTAAATAATGATTTATCTAATTTACCCTTCTGATTTACTTGTTTTTTTTTGTTTTAGAGAAGTATATATCAAAACTATGATTAGATTTAACTTCAGACAAGAAATCTTCAGAATCGGAGTTAATATCTGAAGAATCATTATCAGAAGAGTTTGTATCTGAACCTGAATCTACAGCAATTTTATTAATACTGCCTCTCTTTTTGGATCTACTCTTGGATCTTTTCTTACGAGTATACTTGTGAGAATTATATTCAGTTCTATTACAATTTGTATAATGATGTTGAGATGATTTCTTAATGGCATTAATCTCTTTTGCCATTTTTGCTAAATTTAATGATAATTTTGACATACCTTTAGTAATTTCATCTATATCATCAGTACTGGTATCTTTATTCTTCGATTGCACTAGTTTTACTGAAAACATATCAGACAATTTTTTATAAAGATCATTGACTAGAGATTCCATAATTTGACTGATTGAAGGAGTTGGATTTATAAGATTAGCATGAATAAATCTTTTAGAATTTATACCATACCCATCTGGAGGTCTTTCTGGCATATATTCATCTAATACTCTAGGATAATCATCAGAATTAATTCATCTTTGTTGAAATTGTGGATCTTGTATTTTCTGAGATTGTGTAGACTGTGTAGGCTGAAGAGAAGTAGTTGGTACTAAAGCTAATTGTGATTTTATCATACTATCTATTTCAGCTCGAGTTATATCATTAGTATCAGAATGTGATTTATTTTATATATTAACAGCTAAAGTTTGAGAAATTTGATTGGTAATTGAGCTTTTATAGCTAAGTAATAGTTAACACTTGAGTCATAATTCTTTAAGTAAAGTAAAGAAAGCTGTGATACCACCAGGATTTGTTCCTTTTATTTGAATAAAAAGCTCATTAAGTAAATAAGCCATAAGAAATTCCAAAGCATTAGCATCATCATCAGGTACACCTAATATATATTGATGAATTCTAGCTTCATATGTTTCTGGATTATCATCAGTCTTAAATGTTTCTTGAGATAATCTTTGAATAGCAAACTGGCAAGTACCAACTGTTCTTTGTAGATAGATATCTCCAAGTCATGCTTTAAAGTGAGCTGGAGTATCAATATTATTATTTGCATGTTGAGTTGGAACTGGAAGATATTTTTCTGCCATTTTTGATTTATAAATATCTGCTTTATGGGTATCTGTAAAAGTATTAGCATTTGCTTGATTAGCGTCAGCTATCATTATATTAGTATAGCTGATAGCTGTTTTAATCCTATTACAATAATCATCTGGTGGTTCCTATCCAATATATGATAAAATATGAACAAGACTTGTTTGAATAGTTTGATAAATATGTTGTCTATTGGCGGCCACCATATTTGGATTTATAGGTGAATTATTCTGTAGTAATAAAATTTAGGCTTGTAAATTTAAAATTAATTACTGTGAATTACGCTTTCTATTTTTTCACTTGATATGACTTGTCTTTTAATCCTTGAATTTATTATAATATCTATCAAAGAGCTGATCTCAATTATATTCTAATAATCCTTTATCAGCCCAGCATTGTTGAAGCTTTCATTCTAAGCAATGAATAGATATCTTATAAATAATTTCGAGAGAACGCTTAAGTTTAGACTGTTCTTCTAATGCTAAGGTAATATTATACCACAAGCGCCCTCGCAAATTATATCTTTGTTATAATTCTCTCCCATATCTTTGATACCTCTGAAATTTAAAATTGAGTGTAAATTTATCAAGTAATAGAATATTGATACATATTTACATTCCATTTTCTATTTTTTACGCAATTTCCCTCCAGAGATAACATTCTCTCTGTTCATTATTAAGATTCTGGGTAAGTTGGTTGACATGGATTTGTAAGGTATCACATTCTTATGTAAGCTGATGATTACGATTTTGTAAAGTAATACCATCTTGAGTGAGCTGGTTAATATAATTTTGTTAAAGTGTATCTAGCTGTCTAAAATAATTGACATTCTGCTGTAACTGGACTATCTGATTATTGCTATCATCTTGTTGAGTGATAATACTGTCTATATCCTGGTATGCAGACTAATAATTATACCAAACAGTATTTAAGAAACCTCTAATGCCATTTATAATATTTATAGGATTATTTAATAGTATTCCAGCACCTTTAAGGTGATTTTCAATATGAGTCAAGTCTTGTTCGATTTGTATAAAAAGGTCAAGATTCGCCATATCTATATCTTCCTCTTCTAAATTATATAAACTTGGAGAGCTTCTTCAAGAAGAAATAACTTTGAATCTATGCCTTAGATTTTGAATCCACTCTTCTGATTCTTGTAATTATTTCTCTATACTATCGATATAAGATATCTTATCTTGGATCTCCTTTTTAGCTTAATATAAGCTTTTTTTAAGGGATGATATTTCTGATCTCAACTCCACCTTTTCTTTCTTCAAAGCATTCTCAAGCCATTCCAGTTCTTTATTAAGAGATTGAATTTCTTTCTCACATCTAATATATTTATGCTCTAGCTTATTTATATATTTCTCATTCAACCTATTGATTGAAACTTTGTTAGATAACTCATCTCTCAAAGCTTGATTTACCTGCTTCAGTACCAATTCCCAATTAGATGCTAGCCCATGAGATATTTGATTAGGATATGGTCGACAAAATGTCATAGCTATTTTTATTATAGCGAAATATATTGATACAAAGTATAGGCATAGCTAAAAATAAGTATACCTACTATATATATAGATCCATATGCTGAGGTAGCTATAGTTTGTCGTGCACTCTATTATAATATTCCTGGATTTTATCTGAATGTGAAAGCCTTATAAAAGACGTGCAAAAAAGAAGAATATAGTAATTTCTGACTCAAAGATATAACAAAATGATTAAAAAATCAGTATGATTATCAAATATATCATCATCCATCAAAGATTAAGACTTAGGCTAGCTTTTCTAAATGCCAAATTCCTAATAAATTATACTAATGTGATCTATTATCTCATGTTTATGATGATTAGAAAAGAGAGAAAGTGTATTTACACACCTTGGTACTGATAGATATGGCAATAAGATTTAAATATGCAATAGTATTGACATCAAAGAATAGTTTAGAAGTTTGGAATGTGATCAAAAAAATATACAATGATCCCAAAAATCCTCTCACATGGCCCACATTATTGATGGTGGATGGTGTAGGAGAGTTCAAAAAATCATTCTCTTGAGGGATGGAATATTATAATATTCCTATAAGAATTATTGATCTTTACAGTTTTGAGAGTTTAGTATTAGTTAAAAAATTCAAGCAGGATTTGGCAAGATATATATATAAAATTCAATATGCCATAGAGGGCAAACTCAGAGGAGGTGAATATTCGAAATTATGGAATAAGATACTTCAGAAAATTATCAATTATATGAATAATAATAAAACATGATTAATAGGTATGTCTCCATCATATGTGATGACATTGCGAGAAGTGATTTCCAAAGTAACTATCAAACCTAAAAGACCTATTAGAAAAGATAAATCACGATTATAAAAAGGAATGACTGTAAGATATTTATTAAAATCAGGTGAGCTAGAAGGAGGATACATGTATAGGAAAACTGACCC